GCTCTAAATACATTATTAAACACATGACCAAATATGTATTTCTTAGACATAATGTGCCTTTAATTGATATTCAGATGAGCGAGGGAGGGCCAAATATGGCCCTCTTGTGTTATGTATCATTTCAGTGGTAAATTTCCTGTTGCTGTTAAGATGGTAAAATGGATGCCTGAAGATTATGATTCAAATGAAAAGTTATATGTTGCATAAATTTGCAATTTTTACAAATGTTTTAAGCTAATTTTTGAGAGGATTTGTTTTGTCAATTTAATAAATTGCAAATAAGAGTGAATATTCTAATATTGTATTATAATTGTATAATGTTATGTTAATTAAATTTTTTGGAGAAATCCTTATGTATTAAATTTTACTATGAATATCACTTTTGTTTTTCTTCATTTAGTGATTTCATTTCAACTGGGAAATTCCCCTTGGTTATATTGATTCTGGTTGATTTTTACAAATATTGCTTTTTACTGTCTGTTAATTATTATTAATTTGTTACATGTACGTATTATGATGTTCAATATTGGAGGAGTAAAAGATATTAATGTAGTTATTCAGACATTATCATTGTTAATCTTGAATGAAGATCAGCATATATGTTAATTCAAATATAATTGATAAATTACTTGCTCATACATAACTAAGCAGGCATATTTTTATGTATGTTGATAATTTTACTTAGCACTTATCTATAGTTAATGTTTAAAGTGAAATAAGATTATTGTAAACCTTTTTGTTACTAGTATTCAGTTTCCGAATTGTTGACATCTGATTTTTAAAGTTTATCTAATCGATGATTATTTTTTAAATTTTATTTGTTAAAAATTTGTATTGAAAATTTTATTTTGTCATACAATAAATGTGATGAAAATTTAGGTATTTTAGCTCGACTATTTGCAGAATATTTGAGCTAATGCAGTCACCCATTTGTCAGCGTTGGCATCTTTATGGTTAGGTTTTACATGTAAGCTGGATTGAAGCTTCACACACACTTGTTCTCTGTGATTATTTTACATGATTGGCACAAGTCCCATAACTCTTATTTCTTTTTTCCTTAATTATGCCCCTTTTTCCATTTGGAAATTCTTGGTTAAGTTTTTGCTTGTTAGTTGTTTTCTCCATAACTACTGAAGAAAATGGATTGAAACTTCACACACTTGTTCTCTGTGATGATTATAATACTGCACGTTTGTAATGTCACTTTTCATTTGGAAAATCGTGACGTTTATACAGTTTTATATACACGACTGCTGTCAAGCTATGAGATAAAAATCTCACTTTTATTTTCTTAAACAATAGATTTTTGCCATATTATCAATTAGTTATGAAGATGTTTGGCAGGCTATATGGCCATATATAAACTTTTGTTTACAATATAACCCGAACTGCTACAATATAACCCAAACCTAGCGGTTAAGGTTATATTCCAAACAACTATCTATATAGGGCCATATAACAGTCAAAATTCCTTAAAACTAATACTATAACTTCTCCGACAGCCCAAAGGGTGTAATTAATCCAATGCACCGTTTGTAAACCAGCCGTGTTTTTTATATGAATTAATAGTAAAACTGAAGATAGCAATTCTATTTGACATTTCAAATATTATATATATTGTCCAACAACATTGACCTGGCATTCTTGCATTTGACCCTGTAAACGGGATATTCCGTAAACTTTACGATCTACTTGTAATTCGATTTGTAAATATTGAATTGTTAAAATTGTGAAACTTAAAAAGCCATGTTAGTGCATTTGGTAAAGGACTTTTGCTTCACTTAACAGGCTGGTGAAAATGCCCGATCAGGCTCAAGACATAAAATACCATATTTCTAGAAAAAATAATCAATATGTTTCTTTCTCACTTGTTTTGTTTATTAAGCATTGATATATATGATACAAATAAAATAAAAATATTTTTGTTCTATTTCCCGTTTTCTAGAAACAAAATATATAAAGTTGATAAAAATTATATTGTTATGTAAAATTCTAAATAGAAATGTGTCCAACAACTTCATTTTGCTCTAGATTTTTGCGCCTGTACCTTTAATTAATTATTAATTATTCTGTTACTTGCATTTATATTTTGACAATTCTTTGACACTGAACATTATACTTTGAAGTTTTTTCTGACAACTGAATGAAATGTATGATGACAGGTGCTGGTGCAATGAATTAGAGCATAAAGAAGTTATTTAACCGATTTTGCATACGTAACATACTTTTTCCGGACTTCAAAAATTATGTGTTAAAGGGGACATAATTCTCATAATAGTGACAGTAGCAAAATATTGTTCTTTCTGTTTATGTCAAATATTATTCTCAATTAACAAACAAAGTTTAAAAGAAATATCTTTATGTCTTTTCTAGAATATGATTTTTTATGACATAAGCCGATTTGGCATTTTCACCAGCCTGCTTAAAGAATGTAGACGTTATCTGGTAATTTCGAATCCTATTACAGCATCTTAATTTTTTTATTTTAATTTTAAAATTACCATTAAAACTATTGCAAATTTTATTTGTGTGCACCATCAGTGTAGTATTTTTAATAATTGTCTTTGTAGCATGTATGCGCTAAATCACAAACGATTCCATAATGTCAAAACAAAACCGTTGAAAGAGACTGTTATGAAATAAAAAATATAATTGTGTATAAAAACACCACATAAAAGGTTTTTCTAAAACTAGGTGTAGTAAAACTATTTCAAATTAATTCTTGCAGGTAAATCAAAACAAGAGCCGGTTGAACCGGGTGATGCTCCCCGAATAGGTTTTGGACACAGGAAGGTATACCTTTTGTAGTGTCAGAGTTATGTCACAGACAAAGTTCAAATTGTAAAAATAACCCAAATGTTGTGCACAACACATTGTCTCAATATGGTGATCATTTTTGTGAAATAGTTGTAAAATCCAACTTCAAATAACGAAGTTATGGGCCTGACATGATTTTGCTGCAAGGTCATGCTGTGACCTTCAAGGTTGCAACCCAAATCTGCATGCAACACGTCGATTTAATATGGTGATCATCTCTGTGAAATAGTTGTTAAATCCGACTTTAAGTAACAAAGTTATGGGCCAAAAACGATTTTGCTGCAATGTTATGCCGTGACCTTGACCTTCAAGGTAGCGACCCAAATGTTGCTCGCGACACATTGTGTCATTATGGTGATTATTTCTGTGAAATAGTTTTAAAAGCTGACTTCAAATAACAAAGTTATGGGTCGGACACGATTTTGCTGCAAGGTCATGCTGTGACCTTGACCTAGAAGGTAGCGACCCAAATGTTGTGCATGACAAGTCATCTCAATATGATGATCATTTCTGTGGAATACTTTTAAAATCCGACTTCAAATAACAAAGATATGGGCGGGACACGATTTTGCTGCAAGGTCATGCTGTGACCTTGACCTTCAAGGAAGTGACCCAAATGTTGCGCGTGACACGTCATCTTAATATGGTGATCATTTCTGTGAAATATTTTTTAAAATCCAGCTTCAAATAACGAAATTATGGACCGGACACGATTTTGCTGCAAGGTCATGCTGTGACCTTGACCTTCAAGGTAGCGAGCCAAATGTTGCGCGTGACACGTCGTTTCAATATGGTGATCATTTCTGTGAAAAAGTTTTAAAATCCGACTTCAAATAATGAAGTTATGGACCGGACACGATTTTGCTGCAAGGTCATGCTGTGACCTTGATCTATTAGGTAGCAACCCAAATGTTGCGTGCTACACGTCGTCTCAATATGGTGATCATTTCTGTGAAATAGTTTTAAAATCCGACTTCAAATAACAAAGTTATGGGCCAGACACGAATTCAGGACGTACGGACGGACGGACTACCCGACGACTATATGCTCCCCCGAATTTTTTCGGGGAGCATAAAAAAACATAACCTGGTGTTGGTTAGGAATCGAACCATAGACCTTCAGATCAGTACTCCGACATCTATATCAATGTGACACCACACTTCTCTGATGGGTGAAAATATATGAATATATTCGATAGATACTGGTCAGTGTTTGTTCAAATGACCTTTACGAAAATTCTCTTTAACACAAATAAATAATTTTCTAAAAATAGTGTTAAGTTCAAAATGCTATGTCATTTAATTAAAGAAATGTATGAATAGACAACTTCATTCATAACAGCAAATAATGTCATTCTAGGTATGCAATTTAATGTCTAAGTGGTTAATTTTGCATTGTGGAAATATTTGTGATATTTAAAATTGAAATCATTCACAAATATTAGACGCAAAAAATATTTCTTTTTAGGCAAACTTTCTTCTATCGTTTGAGAACACATTTTCATACAGCATCTTACATTAATAAGTTTGAATGTTCAGGTACTTAGATTATTGTTCTCATTGCTCGTTCGATTAAGTTTGGTCTAAACAAATCAGAAATGTTTTAATGAAACAATATTTGTGTTAATAAAACAATAGGTTATTCATATAACAAAATAAATGTTAACAAATATGACAAAGAGATTGGTGATCAGGTCCTTTATTAAACTAACAATATAAACTTCAAACAATTATATAACTAATAAAGGTATTAAACAACGGAATAGAATGATTACAATAACGGCATAATTTTAACATTCACCTTGTCACAAAAACAGTATTAAATTCAAAAAATCGTATTTTCCCCAATACTTCCCCGCGCAAAAAGTCCACTTTTTGACATTTACACATTTTTTTACCTATGAATATCCACTTATTCAGTATTCTTAAATGCACACATAAATGACATTATTTAAACACAGATCTGTCTTAACCTGTGGGATTTTAAAACAGGGGTTTCTAGCACTGTTGCAAAACTAAATAATCCTGTCTGACAAGCAAGAGAGTCCAAATATGGTTCAAATCAGTTCATTAATAAGATGGTAAATTTCAGCAAAATTAATACAAAAATCTTTAGATTAACATTCAAAGTGAAATTCCTTAAAATTTTTGGAAGCAGACATCATACCAAGTACTCCCATCAAGTTTTATTGAAATTGGTTGCATGGTTTTTAGGAAGTGCAAGCAGACAGCCAGACTGATTATCAGCCTAAAACCAATATTCCCACTTAAACTTTTACATTTGAAATATATCATTTATCATTAACAGCCAAATATATGACCAATCAAACATCATATCAATTGCTAACAAGATTGCATTTTTGAAAAATGCTATGCCACCGCATTATATAACACAACACTAAATAGTAGTGTAGGAACAGATTTTTTTTAGTTTATAATCAATTGAACTTTGCCATAAAGCATTTGAGTTTAGTGAATTTGGTGGTATTTTACATGGCCTAAATTTCATGACTGTACATCAAAGGAACAGAAAGTAGGCCACATCATCAAAATCTAAGCCAGCTGATATCAAAATTCAATTTGACATTCAAAATCGTGCACATGGACCAAATTTCAAAACTGTACATCACAGGAAAAGAAAGTAAGTCACATATCAAAATTTTGGTCAGGTGCTATTAAAATCCAATTTTACATCTCAAACAGTGCACGTCCAAAGTTGATTTGCTATATGCCACCGCATCACAGATGAGTCAAGACACAGTTGCACATATGAGGCTTCAATTATATCTAGGCCAAAAATCCAATCAAGTGTCACAATTCACATTTGAAAGATTCGATTTTTAATTCTGAAGTTTTCATATTTTAAGTCACTTATAAGCCACAACAGTTTTATTTTGTGTTGTCCTCTCGGGAAAATGGTGCATCTTGTCTTCTTACCTATAAAGTAAAGTGAAGAAGTTAACATTTTAACAAGAACGTGTTAGTGAAACACAAATTCCCTCGGGTTCGATTCTTGTCAGTAGCAATATTTCAAAAAATGTTTACCAATTCACTGAGTTATGGACAGAAACATTGCCAAAATATTGCAAACACAAATTATATAGCTTGACAGAGTCATTGCATTTTGTAATTGTGAAATATATAAGTTGCCAAGTCAATGCTATGACTTGTGAAGTGATAAATATTCAACTTTATCAAATATATATAAATGTAAGAAATCTATACTTGGCACCCTTGACCTTGACCCACTGACACCTATAGAATATCATGCAAGTTTTCTTCCTACCAAATATGAAATACACCTGTCAATAAATAAAGGCTGTATGGGCAGTATGTTAAAATCTATTTTGAGCATTGATGACATTGATCAAACTGACCCCTAACTCCATCCAAAGGAAGAATACCAAGCAAGTTATCTTCCAACCCAATATGAAATAAATCAGTCAATAAATAAAGACTGTATGGGCAAAAGTGTAAAAATCTATTTTAAGCACTTGTGACCTTGACCCAACTGACCCCTAACTCCATCCAAAGTAAGAATAACATGTAAGTTATCTTCCTACCAAATATGAAATACACCTATCAATAAATAAAGCCTGTATGGGCAAAAGTGTAAAAATCTATTTTTAGCACAAGTGACCTGGACCCACTGATCCCTACCCCAATCAAAAGGATGAATACCATGAAAGTTATCTTCCTACCAAATATGAAATATATCTGTCAATAAATAAAGGCTTTATGAGCAAAAGTGTAAAAATCCATTTTTAGCACTGGTGAACTTGACCCAACTTACCACTAATTCCATCAAATTTTATGTTCCTATCAATTATTAATGACATCTGTCTATAGAATATGGTTAATACACCTGTAAAAATCAATTTTTAACATTGGTGAACTTGACATTGGTGACATTGACCTTGACCCAAATGACCCCTTACTATACACAAAGAAGGAGGACCTCCCTTGGCATGTTTGTATTAAACATGAAAGACATCAACCAAACAAGAGGGCCATGATGGCCCTGAAGTCGCTCACCTGTATATAGGCCCCCGGAGGGGGGCCAGTTTAAACCCCAGGGCTTTTATTTGAACAAACTTGGTAGACACCAATTAGAAGATATTTCATGCTTAACATCTAAGGTCTAGCTGGTCAAGTTTTTTTCTTTACACATATAGTTAAAAACAATGACACACCTTGGGCAGGGCCACTTTTGACCAAACGGCTTTTATTTGAACAATCTTTGTAGACACTTACTATAGTGTGGCGGGAAATAAGGTCTCTGCTGTCAAAATAGTGCAAATTGTGATACAAGCATGAAACTTTCAGGAAATTATCTTTAGACCATGTAGATTTCAAAAGTGAAGTGGGCCCAAAAATATCTCTGCTCATTCAAGATGGCCGCCATTTTCAAGATGGCCGCCATATAAATTTGACGTACATTCTAGCTCATTCATTCCAATTTTTTGTACAGACCTGAAACTTACACCAAAGCTTGCATATAGTTTCCCCTTTTCAAAAATTTAAATCTTCAAGCAATTTCACTTGCATATTTGTTCAGAATCAAAGATGGCGTCCAATATGGCTGCCAATTTTAATGAAAACTGATATATCCCTTTGGTAGTATAATTTTTTCCACACAGTATGCGTATTACCATATAAAATTGTTAAATATACATTGTATTAGAAAAAAATCGAATTTTAAGTTAACCACATTTTTAGTCATGTTTTTAGTTTTTTGTACAAAAAAAAAATCTTTAAAAAAATCAAAAACAAAGTTCCATTTTTTTGCATTTTTCTCCAACATTGTTTTCTAGGTCTATGTACAAAATTCCAAAAGTTACATAGTTTCTTAAAATGTATTTGATATTCAATCAACACTTTGTTTTATTGTATAATTATAGCAAAAACAAACAAAAATGTGAAGGTTTTATACTTATTAAAAGTGGGTGGGGTAAATTTATCAGACAATTGTAGTACAAAAAAACGTTTTTTTAAGAATTCTTATGCAAATATTCACTGTAAAAGTATTTTATTGTATTAAGGTATTTTTGTTTTCCTTCAGGTCTAGAGGGTGTACTAAAATATCAATAAATGCAGATACAATCATATGTATACATTCAGTTATTAAATGTGTTTGCATGATATAAGTTGTTTCAATATTCTTGATATAATTTGATAATTGTACAGAAAGAAGACTGAATATTCATCAATGAACCATATGTTAGATAAAATCATGCCTGGACCTGAGTGAAATGTTGTCTTTTTATGAATACAATTATTTCCTGGACAATTTAGTCTTGCTAAAAGCTTGTAACAGAATGATTCAAAGTTATATTTACTTGCACATCATTGTAACCAAGTATAATTGAATTAGTACTGTCCATTTCTAATACTAGTAACTTATGTAGACATGATATTATCTAAAGAAATCAAAATTTAGACGACTGATACATCATATTATCTAATTACTATGTGTGCTAAAATAGGTATCAATAAAACCGCTTGACCCACATTATTATTTAGAATATAAACTAAATGTATTCCTTCTTTATTTTTCCCATTAAACAAGAGAGAATTGTTGACCCTAGATCACTCACCTTAGATCCACTGTTAGAAAAGGGCTATAATTCTTTTATACTGAAGAATGCTAAAATCATGTAAGGAGTATCTTTTTTTCACCAGTCAAGATTTATAAATTATTTGAAAAGAAACATGCCCAATAACTAGGCTCTCAGAACTTTTTCACACAAGAAGACTCATATAAATATATTCCAATAAGAGTCCATGGATGTAAACTAAGTGATTTTGACCTTATGCCAATAGTTCATAATCTTTATATAGCATCACAAGGTGATGATATACGATATTTTTTCTTCTCTGTGCACTGTAGTTTCGGAGAAGAATTTTAATATATAAGTCAATGTAAACTAAGTGACAGGGAAAGCCATTTTGGACTGCAGGAGCATGATTTAAAGGCCCTCGCGAGGTACACAGTTTTTAAAGACTTGTGTAGGGAATCGCATTGAAGTTGTTTTATTGTTGTTGTTATTAAAAAAATAATCAACAAACAAACTGTTATGCCTAGAGCTTAGATAGTCAAAATATAACCTTGCCAAGAAAAGAAGACCTCTTTAAAAGTTACATAAAACACTTTTGGATCATTAAGTGTAGATGGAAAATAAAAAATCTTCTCAAAAATCAAAATGCACAGAGCACAGGTACTAAGCATGTAGCACCACCTTGTGTCTTTATTAACATATTTAATGAATCATGCTCATAGAGCCACCTGGGTTCACAGACTTGTATAGGAAAACACATTAAAACATCTAGTGTTAAACTGCAATGACTTGAACTAAGATATTTGGGATGTAGACTGATATAACATGCATAAATTTGTATGATGATACTGCAGGTCTAAATCAGTTTTGCAATGGTATCACTTAATTTACAAAGACTACTGTAATAAATCTGTTTTCTCTTAACCTACAGTATCCGACGCATATACATTAATCATGTATCATCATCAGGCCTCGACACTAACTTTTTCAGCAAGTGGTAAGCCGGACCACTAGATTTGAACTTTAGGTGGTCATTCAAGAAGTAAGGTGGTCAGTTATTATTATTGTAACATTTTACTGCAAATTTAGAAAAAAATAATATATGCTTAAATTTGATGACATAATGTATTATTGACCTTTAAAGAAAACAGGTATCTTCAGACAAATATATTTTTATCTAATCAGAAATGAAGTAGAGCAAGTTGGTAGGTATTCTATTGTAATGTTATTTGGTTTTTATTTTTATCTCATTCAAAACTACACAACAGGGCTCTTATTTATGTTAATTCTTATATTGAAATGATTTCTCCCTCAACTCAAGTAAGGGAATAGTGAAACATTTATGTCTGTTATTCAAATATTCATTCCTGATACATGGTACGTCTTATTATCATGATAATTACATGTATCTTCTATAGATAACATTTTTAAGAAAACTGATAAATAAAATATAGATCTTATTCTTGTTTTTGAAAGGAAATATCAAAAGGATAAAAAAAATAATGACAATATAACTATAGTTTAGCTTATTTTTCTCACTGATTCATTATGAATACAGATTTTTTTACCTTGTTGACATTTATTTTTGACATTGAGTAATTTTAAACTTTAAAAGTAATTCTATCTCTGGAAGAAATAGATCTATTATCGTTAGTTACAATAAAGATTAGTAGCAACAAATAATTAGTTGTTTTTCAAGTTCCTTTCGTTTGCTGCCATTAATCAAGTATCTGAAATTTAATTTTATCTGATATCCTATACATTACTAGTATCATAATTACCGTCGTGGGTATCATACGATGCATACCGGTACTGACTAACATCATTTGAATGAATTTTGTACCTAAATTATTATTACAAATTCTTAACTCTTTTAACTTGCAAAAACAAAATTTGAATGACTTAAAATGAAAGTTATTGATGATTTAAGAACGTCTTTAACTAATCAGAGATTAATGAATTATATACATGTACCTCGAACAAATGATTTTAACAAAATGTATATAACATGTTTTTGACACAAATCGCCATACTCCCAAATGAGCCTTGCACCAACCATAAAAACTCAAGTGGTCCGACGGACCAGTGGCTTTTAAAATTAGGTGGTCCTTGCCAAAATCAGGTGGTCTCGGACCAACGGACCACCGCTAATGTCGAGGCCTGATCATAATTATGTTATAATAATGATATATCATGGACAACATGGTCCAAATTTACCAAACACTAGAGGTCACTAAGTTTATATGGACTCGTATATAATAAATATGGTTATTAAAGTCCTCTCGTGTGAATAAAAATTGAAACCAGATATTGAGCATGTTTTTTTTTAAAAAACAACCGGATTCAATTATGACACAAATCATGCGTGTTATGACATAATTGACATCCCAAAATGATCTTGTTACCTTTTTTCCAACAATGATCTTAGGTGAGTGATCCAGGGTCATCATTACCCTCTTATTGAAAGAAAAAAAATAAGATATGATTACTTTAGGAAATACACTTAGTTTGTATCTTAACTTTTCTAAAAGCTGCATGCAGGCCAGGCCATATCATTGATATATCTGTTTCACATCACATACATTTTGTTGGCTTTTAAGCCATGTCTATATTATGAATATAAAATTGTGGAGGTGTCAAAAATATGCGTTTATGGACTACCTTTATACCTTTACATTCATGTACATGTTTGCTATTTTAAGCATGTTTAGTTGATTAATTGTCTTCTTATATGTCTTTACAATTAACAATTAAAATATAATGTCAAATATATTGAAAGAAGAATATCATGCAACCAAATTTTAATAACTGAATGTATATTGAATTTCTTGCTCACCTACTAAATGGCCCGAAGGAAGACAAAAATACTTTCATCCAATTAAAAGTACTTTTTAAGTTGGAACATTTGCATAAGAATTTATAGAAAAGTAAAAAGGAAAAGAAATAGAATGAACTTAGCTATGTATATTTTCTGTTGTTTTTTTTCTTTTACAATTATCATATAAAATTACCCCATCCACTTTCACAAAATATAAAACCTACAGATTTAATGCTTTTCTTACATTTTTTACAATAAACACATGATATTAATGGAATGTCAAATACAGTTTAAGATATAAAGTAACTTTTTTAACTTTGTACATTAATTTAGAAAATAAAATTTGAAAAATATGAAAAAAATGGATTTTTTTTTATCTTTTTTAAAGATATTTTTAAACAAAAACTTTTAAAATGTTTACTTTTATTGAGATTAACATTAATATGATTATCTCTGATATGTTTAAACACTTTTTTTATTATAATAAAAATTATTTGTGCAACAAATTATACTATAAAAATGATATAACAGTTTTGCACAAAATCGACGGCCATATTGGACGCCATCTTGGATTTAGAGGATGTATGAACGAGAAATTTTGTGATATTTAAATTTTTGAAAAGGGAAAAGTATATGCATGCTTTTGGTGTTAGTTAAAGGTCTGTACAAAAAATTGGAATGAATGAGCTAGAATGTACGTCAAATTTATATGGCGGCCATTTTGAAAATGGCGGCCATCTTGAATTAGCAGAGATATTTTTGGGCCCACTTCACTTTTGAAATCTACATGGTCTAAAGATGATTTCCTTAAAGTTTCATGCTTGTATCACAATTTGCACTATTTTCTCAATTTCCCGCCCCACTACTAGAAAATGTTTCATGCTTTATATCTAAACTCTAGCTATTCGGGTTTTTTCAAAGAAGTTTTTGCTATACACATATAAGGAAAATCAATATCAGCCCGGGCGGGGCCAATTTTGACCCCAGGGCTTTTATTTGAACAAACTTGGTAGACATCCATTAGAACATGTTTCATGCCAAATATCTAAGCTCCAGCTCTTTGGGTTTTTAGAAGAAGATTCTAAGATTTAATATATGCATATAGGGAAAATCAATGACCCCCTGGGGCAGGGCCAATTTTGACCCCAGGGCATTTATTTGAACAATCTTGGTAGACACTCATTAGAAGATGTTTCATGCTTAATATCTCAGCTCTAGCTCTTTGGGTTCTTTAAAAGAAGAATTTTTTAAGTTTTTACTATATGCATATAGGGAAAATCAATGACCCCCTGGGGCGGGGCCAATTTTGACCCCAGGGCTTTTATTTGAACAAACTTGGTAGACCCCCTTTATAAGATGTTTCATGCTAAATATCTTAGCTCTAGCGCTTTGGGTTCTTTAAAAGAATTTTTTTTAAAGTTTTTACTATATGCATATATATAGGGAAAAGCAATGACCCCCTGGGGCGGGCCCCAATTTTGACCCAAGGGCTTTTATTTGAACAAACTTGGTAAACACTCGTTAGAAGATGTTTCAGGCTAAATATCTTAGCTGTAGCTCTTTGGGCTCTTTAAAAGAAGAATTTTTAAGTTTTTACTATATGCATATAGGGAAAATCAATGACCCCGAGGGGCAGGGCCAATTTTGACCCCAGGGCTTTTATTTGAACAAACTTGGTAGACATCCATTAGAACATGTTTCATGCTTAATATCTTAGCTCTAGCTCTTTGGGTTTTTTAGAAGAAAATTTTTAAGTTTTTACTCTATGCATATATAGGGAAAATCAATGACCCCCTGGGGCGGGGACAATTTTGACCCCAGGGCTTTTATTTGAACAATCTTGGTAGACACTCATTAGAAGATGTTTCATGCTTAATATCTTAGCTATAGCTCTTTGGGTTCTTTAAAAGAAGATTTGTTTAAGTTTTTACTATATGCATATAGGGAAAATCAATGACCCCCTGGGACGGGGCCAATTTTGACCCCATGGGATTTTATTTGAACAATCTTGGTAGACACTTACTAGAAGATGTTTCATGCCAAATATCTAAGCTCTAGCTCTTTGGGTTTTTTAGAAGAAGATGTTTAAAGTTTTTTCTTTTGGTTGCCATGGCAACCAGAGTTCTGTATGGAATGGAATTCTTTGAACAACTTTGTGAAGGCTTCACACAAGGAACATCCCTGTGAAGTTTCATTATGATCTGCCTTATTGTTTCAGAGTAGATGTCGTTTGAAAATTGTGAACGGACAATGGAAGACGTACAACTGATGACAGACGAAGAGTGATTCTAATAGCTCACCCTGAGCATATGCTAAAAATAAAGGCTGTATGAGCAAAAATGTTTAATTTTATTTTCTAAACCAGTGACATTGGCTTTGACCCTAGAGACCACTTACTCCACTAAAAATTAGAGGAATATTAAAGGTATCCACCTACCAAATATGCAAGATGACAAAAAAATAAGAATTTGGATGGTTTGACACTTCTTTGTGTCAAACTTCGATAAGTAGATTTTCTATATGTGTCAAAGTAAAATGAAATTTCAATTTTTTCTCTTTATATTCTCTTTTGAAAGCTATAGGCTAAATATACATGAGTAAGAATTTTATGTGTGTATTTGTTCAATGTGTTAAATCCTTCAAATAATTTGAAATCTTACTTCAAAAGGAATGTTTGGCAACTTTTTCTAGCCACATTAAATATCACTGGGCAGATTTTAATTGATTCTGATAAATTTGTATATTAGTCAGACATATTTTTCATTCATGATTGTAATGAAATAGACTTTCCTCATAATTAACATTGAATGACAAAACCATCAAAATTAATAAAAAAAGTTTACCCTGTGTTTGAACTGCTGAATAACATAAATGGAATTTTAATCTTCTATTGCTTGTCAGGTATCCCATAAACTGCAAAAAGATAATATAGATATATAAAAAATAAAAACAGAAAAACATACTGTGCATTAATTGCATGTTAAATTATGTACATTACAAATCTCAACTACACCAAAATATTATAACTAACAAGAACATGTTTGATAAACATCAATGCCCCTGACACATATTCTTTCTGGCAATTAATTTACAAAAAATGTTCACCTATTTACTCCGTTTTGGCCCAAAAAAAATACAAAAAATAAAATAAGAATAAACCTTTAGTTACTGTGAAAAATAGAAGTCACTGCTATTTGAAATTATTTAACTTAAGATTAAAAAATTATCAGATATATATAAATGCTAGATCTTGATCTTCACCTTGAACCCAGTGACCCCAACATTGTCGACACATAAAGGACCCCAATTACTGATTAGGTATGTGTTTTCTAAATATGAGACATTGCATTAGTAAAAAAAAAACAAGATTGCATTTGAGAAAAATGCTCTGCTAGCGCATTAATACAACACTAAATAGTAGTGTAGGAACATATTTTTTTGTTTCTTTACAACTGAAGATTGTCATAATGCATAGATCCCTGACCTATCTAATTCTTATAATCAGGTAAGTGGTTAAATCTGTTGTTAATCCAATAAAAGATCAGAGTAGGAATATATCAATGCACTAGTGAATTTGGTGGTGAAGGTCATGGTTCAAATTTCATAGCTATACATCAAAGGACAAGAAGGTCACATCATCAAAATCTAGGTCACCTGATATCAAAGTTCAATTTTACAACTAAAACTGTGCACATGGTCAAAATTTCATTGCTGTACATTATAAGACAAGAAAGCAGGTCAATGTCACTGGGCAAGGCAAAATTTTGACCCAAGGGTTTAATTCAAAACAATCTTGATACAGGTCCACCAAACAACATTTCAAGTCAAATATCTAAGCTTTCAGAAAACATTTGTTTTATTTTCTGTTTTTTCTATGTGTACATAATGAGAATCATTGCCCCTGGGCAGGGCCAATTTTGACACCAGGGGAAAAATTTGAACTATTTTGGTAGAGGACCTATAGATGACATTATATAGCAAACATCAAAGCTCTATGTCTTGTATCTCAGGACAAAAATTTTTTTTTTCTTATACTATAAGTATTTAAGGAAAACTAATGACCCCCGGGGAGGGGCCGATTTTGACCCCAGGGCTATAATTTGAACAATTTGGGTAGAGGTCTACCACACAATGCCTTATGCAAATTATCTAAGCTCTAGGCCTTTTGAGTCTTTACAAGAAGGTATTTTAAGTTTTAACTATATGTACATGTAGTGAAAATCAATGACCCCCGGGGCGGGGTCAATTTTGACCCAAGGGCTATAATTTGAACAATCTTGGTAAGGGTCCACCAGACAATGCCTTATGCAAAATATCTAAGCTCTAGGCCTTTTGGGTCTTTACAAGAAGGTATTTAAAGCTTTTTACTACATGTACATACAGCGAAAACAATGACCCCGGGGCGGGGTCGATTTTGACCCTAGGGCTATAATTTGAACAATGTTGGTAAGGGTCTACCAGACAATTCCTTATGCAAAATATCTAAGTTCTAGGCCTTTAAGGTCTTTACAAGAAGGTATTTAAAGTTTTTAACTATAATGTACATATGTTGAAAATCAATGACCCCGGGGGCAAGCCGATTTAGACCCCAGGGCTATAATTTGTACAATCTTGGTAAGAGTCTACCAGACAATGCCTTATGCAAAATATCTAAGCTCTATGCCTTTTGGATCTTTACAGGAAGGTATTTTAAGTTTTTACTATATGTACATATAGTGAAAATCAATGACCCCGGGGACGGGGCCAATTTTGACCCCAGGGCTATAATTTGAACAATCTTGGTAGAGGTCTACCAGACAATGCCTTATGAAAAATATCTAAGCTCTAGGCCTTTTGGGTCTTTACAAGAAGATTTTAAAATTTATTTTTGTAATTCCTTTTGGTTGCCATGGCAACCAGATTTCTGCATAGAATAAAATTCTTTGAACAACTTTAGAAGCCCTTCACCCATAATCAATCCTGCCAAGTTTGGTTGAAATTGGACAAGTGGTTGGTTGCCATGGCAACCAGATTTCTGCATAGAATGAAATTCTTTGATCAACTTTAGAAGCCCTTCACCCATAATCAATCCTGCCAAGTTTGGTTGAAATTGGACTAGTGGTTTTTCACAAGAAGATTTTTTAAGATCACTATATAAGATATATAACACACAAACACACACACATATAAACACATGTGCATCACTATATGCCACCACATCGCAGATGCTGCGACGGCATAAAAAAGCTGTATAAAAAAAGGTGTAAAACAAGATTGCATTTCTGAAAAATGCTATGCTGCCACATTATATAATACAACACTAAATAGTAGTGTAGGAACAGAAGATTTTTTTGGCTTCTATACAACTGAATTTTGACATAAAGCAGTTGAGTCGAGTGAATTTGGTGGTCAAGGTAATATTTCACATGGCCTAAATTTCATGAGTGTACATAAAAGGACAAACAGTAGTCACTTTGTCAAAATCTTGGTCAGCTGATATCAATCTTAATCTGACTGTCAAAATCTAGGTATGTTGATATTAAAATCTCAGACTTTACACATGGTCAAAAATTTCATGGCTGTAGATCAAAAGGACAAGACAGTAGGTCAATGTCCCCTTGGGAAGGGAAAAATTTTGAGCAAAAGTTTAATTCAAACAATCTTAATACAGGTCCACTAAAAATTATTTCATGTCAATATCTAAGCTGTAGCTTTCTTCTTTTCAGCAAACATTTGTTTTAGTTTCCGTTTTTACTATATTACACAATGCAAAAATCAATGACCCTGGGCGGGGCAAATTTTGACCCTGTGCTATAATTTGAACAACCTTGGTAGAGGTTCACTATGCAATTTTTATGCAAACTTTCATACCTCTAGCCTATGTCAATTCAGACAATAAGCAGAGCCAACTTTAACACTAGGGGCAAAATTTGAACAACTTTTGTAGAAGACCTATAGATGATATTATATACCAAATATTAAAACTCTAAGCCTTGTACCTTCATAGGAGATTTTTTAACTTTTTTACTATACATACACAATGAAAATAAATGACCTCCGGGTGGGGCCAATTTTTACCAAAGGGCTATAATTTAAACAATCTTGGTAGAGGTCCACTACACCATAATACATGCAAAATATCTGACCTCTACCTCTCTTGTCAATTCAGAGGAAATTGTTAAAGTTTTAACTATATACATATAAGGAAAACAAACTCCTCAAGGCGGGGTTTAATTTTGACACTAGAGCTGGGATTTGAACAACTTTGGTAGAGGACCTTTAAACGATATCATATACCAAATATCAAAGCTTTAAGCCTTGTTCTTTCAGACAAGAGATTTTTTAATTTTCACTAAGTTTTGAGTTTTCAACTAGACTTGGTAATGATCACTCCTGTAAAGTTTGAATGAAATTGCACCAGTTGTTTCTGAGGAGTATTCCGGACAAACTTATGTGTAGTTGGTAACGCAAAAAAAGGAATGTTTAAAACCACCTTTTTCTTGAAGGCTCATAACTCGGCCAAAATCATTCAACTAATAAAACCCATTTAATATGCCCAAGAACTTGAGTTACAGATCAAACCTATAAAGCTTCATAGTAACTTTTAACTAGAACTATCGCTGAATGCGATTCATACCCCCACTAATGTCCTTGAAAGATGACCACTTGGAAAGGTCACAGGTTAAGAGAATAACTTATGTGGCACAAATACATAAAAAGAAATTATCTCTGGTGAAAAAAAGACTAATTGTACAGGTAATAGTATAAATATATATTATCAAATCATGTTCGTAACAGTTACAAATAACCTTTCATTTTCACAATGTATTAAAACATTTTATTTATAAGTCCATTTTTGACCTTCAAGTGTGACCTTGACCTTAATCTGACACAAGGGTAAGATGGCTTTTGCACATCACCCAGTTTGGTTGAACATTTGAGTAAAGTTTGAAGAAAATCCTTCCATTAGTATAGAATTTATAGAATAGACACAATATATTGTCTAGTATTGGTTGTACGTAAATTTTGAAGACTTAAAAAGGACATAACTTTGTCAAAATTCAATACAGAGTAATGAAACTTGACCTGCATATCTTATTTGGCCACACCTCATATATCTTTTAAGTTTCAAGCAAATGCCTGCGCTAGTTTCAGAATTATTCAAGTACATGTTAAAAATTTAAGAAACATTTTCTAAGTCAATTTTTTACTTTCAAGTGTGACCTTGACCTTTAGCCGGCACAAAGGTGACATGGATTCTGCACATAACCTTGTTTGAGGTGAAAAATTTGAGTAAAGAATTGAAGAAAATTTCTTCCATCAGTATGGATTTATAGAGCGGACACAACATTTTGTCTAATATTTGATTGTATGTAAATTTTGAAGACTTAAAAAGGGGCATAACTTTGTTAAAATGCAATACAGAGTTATGAAAACTTGAACGAACAGCATATCGGAATTGTGACCCTTCAAAAATATTTTAAGTTTCAAGCAATACCTTTTCTAAATTTAGAAATATTCAAATAAATTTTTAAAATTTAAGAATATTTTCTAAGTCAAAATTTTTGACCTTCAAAGTGTGACCTTGACCTTAAGCCAGCAAAAGAGTTCTGCACATCCCTTGTTGAGATGAACATTTGAGCCAAGATTGAAGAAAATCTTTCCATAAGTGTAGGACTTACAGAGCGGACATGACATACTGTGTAATATTAGATTGTTTGATATTTGACCTTCAATTGTGACCTTGACCTTGAGCTGACACAAGGGCAACATGGGTTCTGCACATCCCCTTGTTGAGGTGAATATTTGAGCCAAGTTTGAAGAAAATCTTTCAATTAGTGTAGGACTTACAGAGCGGACACAACATACTGTGTAATATTTGATCTTTTGATATTTGACCTTCAATTGTGACCTTGACCTTGAGCTGGTACATGGGCAACATGGGTTTTGCACATCCCCTTGTTGAGGTGAACATTTGAGCCAAGTTTGAAGAAAATCTTTCAAATAGTGTAGGACTTACAGAGCGGACACAACATACTGTGTAATATTTGATAGTGTTTGATATTTGACCATCAATTGTGACCTTGACCTTGAGCTGACACATGGGCAATATGGGTTCTGCACATCCCCTTGTTGAGGTGAACATTTGAGCCAAGTTTGAAGAAAATCCTTCAATTGGTATAGGAGTTGTAGAGCGGACACGAAAATGGAGATGGACCGACGGACGGACGGACCGACGCGACAAAGCGAATCCATTATAGCCCCCCCCCCCACATTTTGTGGTGGGGGTATAATGAAATTGCATAAGTGGTATAAGAGTAGACAGTACAAACTTTTTAAACAATAGCCACCGCCGGGCGGGGGCAACGCTCAACTTTTTACTTTCTATAAAAGCAAACAAAGAAATGTTTGAACAAAATCTTTAAATATACTAATTTATATATATATATATATAAATAGAAACACGCAATTCTAAAAAAAGAAAATTCTATAAATAGAAACACTCAATTCTATAAATAGAAAATGCTATAAATAGATACATGTGGTGTAATGTGGTGGTGACATGTGGTGACATGTGGTGGTGACATAAGGTGGTGACACATGGTGGTGGTAGTTACACGTGGCAGTCACACATGGTTTTGACATGTGATGACTAAGATGTCATGTGGTGGTGACATGTGGTGTCACTTGGTGGTGACACATAATGTCACATGGTGGTGACATGGTGACACATGGTGGTGTCTTGTGGTGAAATGTGGTGTCACATGGTGACATGTGATGACACATGCTGGTGTCACATGGTGACATGGTGTCGACATGTGATGACACTTGGTGGTGTCACCTGGTGGTGACATGTGGTGTCATGTGGTGGTATCACATGGTGTCAACATGTGGTGTTGACATGTGATGACATGTGGTGTCACGTGTTAAGATCACATGGTGTGGTGGTATCATGTAGTGACACGTGGTGACACATGGTGTCGACATGTGATGACAAGTGGTGGTATCATGTGGTGTCGACATGTGATGACATATGGTGTCACGTGGTGTTGACCTGCCATGACACGTGATGAAGTCATATGGTGTCGACATGTGATGACACATAGTGGAGTCACGTGTTGGAGTCACATGGTGGAGTCACGTGGAGAAGTCAGGTGCTGGTGTCACGTGATGGAGTAATGTGGCACAGTCACGTGGTTTCACATGGTGGTGTCACATGGTGGAGTCATGTGGTGGAGTCATATGATGGTGTCACATGGTGAAGTCACGTGGTGGTGAAACACCTTGTGGTAAGGTCACAATAAACAACAAGGTCTTGTCCTTAAGTATGTTCTGTTATAATATGAAGTTGATCCCTTCAATAATAGCAAAGTAACAGCCAGTTAGAGCCAAAACAATGAAAATTTCAATAATTTGAACTTCAAAGTCAAGGTGATTAATGAAAGAAGGTCAAGGTCTGTCTGGTTATTTTTTCAGGGTTATCCTAAAACATTATTATGTTCAAGTTTGAAGACAATTTATTCAAAAATAACAAAGTTACAGCCAAAAATAGCCAAAAAAATGAAAATTTCAATAATTTGACCTTCAAAGTCAAGGTCATTTATGGGTGAATGTCAAGGTCTGTCTGATTATTTTTAAGGGACATCCTTGAAGATTATTATGTTTAAGTTTGAAGACAATCCATTCAAAAATAACAAAGTTACAGCCAAAAACAGCATGAACAAGCAAAATTTGGACTTTTAACCTTGAAGGTCAAGTCATTTATGGATGAAGGTCAAGGTCTACTGAAAGGTCTTGTCCCAAGGGTTGTTGTGGCCAAGTATGAAGACAATACACTAAGAAATAAAAAGTTATGATCCAGGTACAACTTTGTGAACAGCAACAGGAAAGGCAATGCCACCCTGACAAAAAATATATAAGGGCCAAAACTCTGACGAAAATCATTGAACCGGAAAATGCCAACAATATACACAACTAGACTTGGTACTGATCATTCTTGTTAAGTTTGGTTGAAATTGCATTAGTAGTTTCTTACAGAGGTCAGGAAAGATTTCTGACGGATGGACAGACGGAAATGCTCAATTTTTGGTATTTAAGTGGCAACTCATTTGTTCTATTGTTTTTTTAAGCCATGTAAGAGAAAAGGTAGCCACATAAGAGCTGACGGAATGAATAGCATAAAAGGAAATTTACTGTTACCTATTGTTCCCACAGTCCTTAAGTATCTGTATTTTTGTACTGGAAGACAATGAAGAAGAGATCCCTGTATGTCGCCAATATATTGTACAGGTGACACAAAAATGCCTGCACTGATCTCAAAGTTGCACATTACGTCTTGGCATGACACATCTTCTGTTTCAGATAAAAATAGGATTATGACAACTTTTTTGATAATCAATAATGTAATGAGATAGTTATAAGGCAATTTGAACTTTTACCTCCAAAAAATGACCTTGACCTTAAAGGTGCCAACATGAGTTTTTGCATGTTAAACATAGTCTAGTGAAGACATATGACAAATATTTCAGAGTAATACAATACATGTACATAAAAATCTGACAAAATATAGTTTATACACATTTTATTTAGAATGTGTTGGAAACTATAAGCTTATGGAAACACTCTCGAATCCATTTCAGGAAGAAAGCAGTACAAAGCAATAAGTGTAAAGTTTATTGCTCAAGAAAGCAAAGGCATGCCCCTGTGCACCTTAACCCATTTTGCCAGCAATCATTAGACTAATAGTTTGACATATTAATCACATGGCTACTACCTTTTACCTGAAAGTAAAACCTTCATTTTAAAGCTACTAATATGTGTCTTGGCAATACAACATATTGTCTACTTATGGTGATCATGTAAACCAATATCTATTAGAATCCCATCATTCATGCAGAAATTATAGACAGAACATTGCTGCGCATAATAATTCATGATAAACTAAATGACAAATTTACTTAGTCCAATCTCTTGCTGTAATGTTGACCTTTTTCCTACAGACCATACCATGGTAACTAAGTTATGGTCTGAACAAAAATAAAGAATGAATATCAAGGGGTAATATCTCAAAAATTAGAAGGGGGAGAGAACAGTACTTGTGTGCTGCAATTCTCCTCCACTTAATCTATCCACCTTTTAATTTCAATATAATGTATTTCTCTGAAAAATATATGCAGCAACTACATGAAAATGCAAAACCTTCACATGGAAACAATAATGATTACCAACAGTATAGAAGCTCCATGCTGTAGTAACTATTCATTTTGATGTCCATAATACTGATATTTTATAATATTTATTATGAACTGTAAAAAAGTTCTACAAATTTTAAACACACAAGCAACACACCTGGTAAATAAAATAAAACATCAACATCAAACAAATTTACACTCTTTGGGCTTATCTTTCTTATATTTTATTAAAGTTTCCTTATTAAAGAGTAAGGTCGGACATTATGTGATCAATAACGCATAATAAATTTATCATTAACATTAATTTTAACCAATTTAAGACTGGCATTCATATATAAACAAGAGGGCCATGATGGCCCTGAGGTCGCTCACCTGTATAAAGCCCCCCCCCCCCACCCCCGGGCCAATTTTTACCCAAGGGCTTTTATTTGTTTATTTGAACAGACTTGGTAGACACCCATAAGAAGATGTTTCATGCTAAACATCTAAGTTCTAGCTCATTGGGTTTTTTAAAAGAAGATTTTTTCAAAGTTTTTTACTATACACATATAGTTAAAAACAATGACACCCCTGGAGCAGGGCCAGTTTTGACTCCAGGGCTTTTATTTGAACAAACTTTGTAGATATTTACTTAAAGATGTTTCATGCTTAATATCTAAACTCTAGCTATTTGGGTTTTTTCAAAGAAGATTTTTAAGTTTTTGCTTTACACATATAAGGAAAATCAATGACCCCCCCCCCCCCGGCGAGGCCAGTTTTAACCCCAGGGCTTTTATTTGAACATACTTGGCCATAAGACACCCATTAGAACATGTTTCATGCTAAATATCTAAGCTCTAGCTTATTGAGTTCTTTAAAAGAAGATTTTTTAAGTTTTAACTATATGCATATAGGGAAAATCAATGACCCCCTGGGGCGGGGCCAATTTTGACCCCAGGGCTTTTATTTGAACAAACTTGGTAGACACTCATTAGAAGATGTTTCATGCTAAATATCTGAGCTCTAGCTCTTTGGGTTCTTTAAAAGAAGATTTTTTAAAGTTTTTATATGCATATAGGGAAAATCAATGACCCCCTGTGGTGGGGCCAATTTTGACCCCAGGGCTTTTATTTGAACAAACTTGGTAGACACTTACAAGAAGATGTTTCATGCCAAATATCTAAGCTCTAGCTCTTAGGGTTGTTTAAAAGAAGATATTTAAAGATTTTTCTTTCGGTTGCCATGGCAACCAGAGTTCTGCATGGAATTAAATTCTTTGAACAATTTTTAAAGGTGACCACCAAAGGAACATTCCTGTGAAGTTTGGATGAAATTGGCTCAGTGGTTTATGAGGAGATGTCATTTAAAACAAAAGTTTACGGACGGCCGGACGCCGGACGGACAGACGCCGGACGAAAGCTCACCCTGTCACTTTGTGACAGGTGAGCTAACAAAACTTATAATTATACAATGCATTATATTTTCATTATTATTATCATATTTTCACTGATCAGGGTCATGACTTTAATGCAAAGGAATTTCTGAACAGATATTGAATAAATAAATAGAAATAAATTTGATGACACTTTGACCAGAAATAATCTGATTTATTAGACAATGCTTTTATGAGAGGATAAAATTAGAATTTACCAATCTTCCTGTATTAATACATGACTCAGGAGCAAGCCATAAACCACTAGGCTATCCTGGTACTGACTCGTCATGGAATTGAGCAATCATGGCACTGAACATTTTCCACCTATAAGCATTTAAAATGCATTTTTAAATTAAAAAAAAAATCAAAATCTATTTTTCAAAAAATCAATATAACCCATGCACAAACATAATCAATAGATACTGTAAAGTCAAAGTTAAAAAAAAAAATTAAATAAATAAAACCCTATTCATTCTTAAAAAATCTTAACAAGAGCTGTCAGTAGGACAGCAACGACTATTCTTAGTGCTTGATAGTAAAAAAATGCTTGATACAGTTACCTCCTCCTGTTTACAGGTTGGGGTCATGATGGTGAACAAGTGCGCAGAGTTTCAAAGCCATATGTCCATGGACTTTGAAAATATTTGAGGTATTACAAAAACTTTAACATAAGTGGATATGCCGACCCGGACACCAAAGCCGACACCGAAGGTTCATACACATGCTTGACACATTCTTGTAAATTTTCAGGCCTACAAGTCAAATACTTTCTAGCTATGCATGAACAAGTTGAAAATTGCAAATTTATACTAAGTCAAGGGCAAAAACTCGAACAAAACTGAAACAAGAAACATGGCAACGCCATGAAACCAGGTTTTCAATTATCACCATTGTAGATAAATATGTTGTATTTGAAATACAAATACAAGCAACAAACAATGTAACTATGTGCAATGTAAAACATGAATAATGTAGGAGGAATTGCCACAGAAGAAGTATTCACTATATATTCTGTATAAGGAAAAAAACAAAGAGCCATTATTAGGTCAAAAATTATCAAATCACAAAACCCTGACAATATGTTTCAGGGCACTTGATAACAAAGTTTCTAAGAAAGTTTGGTCAAAATCCGTTGAGAAATGTAGGAGTTCAGCTCTGAAGAAATTTTTCACTATATATTCTTTATATAAAGAAAAAAAAACAAAGGGCCATAATCGGATCAAAAATTATCAAATCACAAAACCCCGACAATATGCGCCAGGGCACATTATAACAAAGCTTCTGTGAAACTTTGAACAAAATCCGTTGAAAAATGTAGGACAAGTTCAGCACAGAAGAAATTGTTCACTAGAATATATTGATAATTCTGTATAAGAAAAAAAAACAAAGGGCCATAATTAGGTCAAATATCATCCAATCACAAAACCCCGACAATATGTTTCAGGGCACTTGATAACAAAGCTTCTGAGAAAGTTTGGTCAAAATCCGTTGAGAAATGTATTGCCCATCGACATACCTCAATCTAATAACCATTTTTTTCCTTCAGAAAACCTGGTAAAAAAGTCCACATGCGAAGTACCAGGTGCATAGCTTTCCAGCGACGTTTATCATTATTCCTGTAAAGTTGGTTTATTTGATCTCAAGCACTCAAGGAACAAACAACACAACATAATGAAATGGTTTATACACTAAGTCAAGGGCAATTACTCTACAAATACTGGATAAATCCACAAGCAAAACCCAAAATGCACAACTGCACATGATGACCAACATTCTTTTAAGTTTCATGACCCTAGGTCAAATACTTTTTACATTGTAACATGAGAAACAAGCAAAAAATTGTAAATTTTGACTAAGTCAATGGCAATTCCTCTAAAAGTACGAAACAAATCCAAACGAAAATACCCAGGTGCACAACTACAGATGCTGATCAATATTCCTGTAAAGTCAAATGACTCTGGGTCAAAATCTTTTTGAGTTATGTGCGACACAAAATAGGAATGGACAGACAGATGGATGGACAGATGGACAAGGGTAAAGTGGGGGCACAAAAATCATCTTTTTTCATGAAGTTCAAGGGTGGTATTGTGCTTCAGTTCTAAACCATATAATGTAGTTGATGATAGGGAATATATATTTGAAGTAAATACCTTAAGAAATAAAGTACTTATAGTAAAAAACCTTAAAATTTGAATTAAAAATGAAAGACGGACAAACTGTCATGGTAAACCTAGCCCCCTTCATTTAAACCCGGTAGGGGTCTTATAAGCAAATATCAATCAACTGGAAAACCTGTGTAATATATGCAAGTACTTGAGCTATTTTAATGTTAAATCCTGTAACTTAGATTCATTCAAAATGCATTACTGGTATAAGAGAAGTCAACCGGATAAAAAATTTTAAGTTAAAAGCATTTATCTGACAAAAATCACTGAACTCGAAATTGCCAACAATATGCATTTAACTAGACTTAGTACTGATCATTCCTGTAAAGTTTGGATGAAATCAACCAGTCCCTTAAAAGTTAGGTTAAGGACAGACAGACAAACATCACAGAAGTGACACTACAAAGAAATCCAAAATTCAACATGTAGGCCTGTATTTACTATTAGGGATCGAAGAAGGACAAGTAGAAATTGTAGTATGCTTGTCCAGCAGGATTAGTCAAAATTTGCCTATGCATTATAGTCCCATAGAATTCTCATAAACAGTTTTTTACATTTCGAGATGGAAAACAGGAAACAAAACTTGTGTTTTAGGTTACAATATGTATAAATTGCAGACTTTATAAAGTTCTGAACACAATGTTAATTAGATACGATATGACTGGAGTATGCCTGACAATGCTATAAAAAGTATGTGATTTATCATTCATACATAACCTTAAACACAAGCCTTGTTTCCGGTTTTGGTTTGTTTTATGAAGTTTAGAAAGTTGATTATTAGAATTTTACACAGGTAAAAATACACCACATGTTTGTTGTATGTTTGGTACACCATATGTTTTCCATATGTAAAACATATGTGTTTCATATGTTTTGAAAAGGATGTGTTTAAGAACATTTGTTTTTCATATGTAAAATGAACATATGTTGAACAGGACCATATGAAAAACATGTGTTAACAAACATGTTAAAATCATGGATATCACATGTTTTACATATGAATAAGTTTCCATATGGTAAATATATGTGAACTTTCATAAGTTTTTCATATGATTATTTTATGTATCATAGTTTCTGCAAGATTTACACCTTGAACAGTTTCAATCAGATTCTACATGATTTTACATAAATTCTTAAAAGATTTTTGGTTCAATTTGTATATATGTGCAAGTTTTGTAAATGTAGTAAATCTATGGGAAAATTTGCCTTCGCTTCCAAAACTTCTCAACAAGTTGAAAAAAATAACAATAAAATACCTTTATATAGTAATTATTAACAAGATATGTTTGTAAAACATGTATGCCCCCAATCTGCAGCCAATTAGTCATATTATCAGGTTATTATGCATGACTTCTGACCCAGTGAACAAACAATTTATAAGGGTTATCTAGTATCTACTGGTCATGACTAGTCACAAGGTAATAATTATTGTGACCCCATAGGTTGTGTGCAGCAATTTAAGTTATTACAAATCTTACAAATAATATATATGCATAAATTTTATGAATCATGCAGGCCTCATTAATGACAGCCAAGTTGTTATTTTACATAAGACCTTCAAATGTGTATATCAAAAGCATTTATAGTTTAATATAAAAATATCAACCAAAGCAACTCGAGTTGTTGAGTTATTGGTCAAAAACCATCATTAAGTACAAGGTCAATATGACATTGACCCCTTGAACCCAAAATCAATAGGGGTCATCTACTGGTCATCAAGGATCACGTTTCTAGGCGACTTGGGTGACAAAGTCGCCTTGTCTCTCTCCATTTCGCTCGGATCGCTCAGAAAAGCAAAAACAAAGTCGCCCTAATTTTCAATAAACGCTTGATATAAATTTTGAAGTGTCAAGCAACTCGGTAATCGTCTACGCTCCTCCTTTTTCAAAGCGATTTGTTAAACGCATTTTCATTGGTCGGTAAAATTGGAAAGTAGGTGGCCTGAAATGAAGAAATTGAACCCTAGATCCTTAGAGTATATGCCCGTGCCAAGATGACTAAGGAGTCCATTGTCATGGATTATTTTGACAATCTTGAAAATTGTTTAAAGAAACATGATCTCCTTGATAATACTCATCTGATTTTCAACGTTGATGAAAAGGGCCTTACATGTGACCACACACCTCCCTCTGTTATTGCCAGGTCTGACCATCCTCCTCCTGCTGTGACATCAGGAAAAGGAAAGACAGTCACACTTATTGGTTGTGGAAGTGCAAGTGGTTATGCTTTGCCACCATACTTGGTCTTCCCTGGTAAGAGACTTATGCAAGAGCTTCTTCAAGGTTCTACTCCTGGTACTACAGGCACTATGAGTGAGACTGGTTGGTCGATTGGCACAATTTTCAAAGATTTCTTGGAGAATCACTTTCCTGGTCGTAATGGCGAAAAAGTTCTTTTGATCTTAGATGGTCATTGATCACATATATCTGTAGGACTAGTTGACTGGGCCAGAGAAAATAATATTGTATTTTTCATACTCCCAGCCATACAAGTCACATACTTCAACCTTTAGATTTAGCTTGTAATAGTCCTTTTCAACGCATGTACAATAATGCATGTCACAAATTAATGCGTGAAACAGCTGCATCTGTCACAAGATATAACATTTGTTCTCTTGCTTGTAAGGTACATCTTCAAGCATTAAAATCTGAAAACCTCCAGTCTGGGTTTTAAATGTGCTGGTATTTATCCACTTGATAGAGAAGCAGTACCAAAAAAGGACTTCATTCCTGCAGAGCTTTATGTTGGTAGTGACAGTGATTCCGATGCAACAGTTGAAGGTGTTATTAATGTAGATCATGATGGGTATGAAATGTTTGCAGTTAAGGAAAATGAGCTTAAAGAAAATAAAACAAAGTCTACAAATGTGAAAAAAAGTAGAAAAAATGTAAGCAAAATTGTTGCAGGTTGAAAGAAATCACCAATGATGTACATGAAAAATTAAAAGAATACGAGTCTCAAAAACCAGTTACTAAATATGTTAACCCTTTACCACATATATACGCGAAACAACGCACTTTCGACCCCCCCTCCCTTTTTTAGGCCTCAAATAGTGCAAAAATGTCATATTTGGGCCCCAAACATAAGTTTTCGTTTGAGAAATGTTGCTGAGAAAATTTTGGACTTGTGAGAGGCTAAAAATGACCCCAGGTCGATCATAATGTAACGTTTAACCAACGCTGGAAAGTCTTAGACTCTATCTCAATC